TAGTGAAGTAAATAGAATTCTTACAGGAAGAAACCTTAGACACCCCATGCTTTGGTGGTGGCCAGGTTTTTACTGATAAGCGGCGCTAGTTCTACTGAGAGAACGGAGACTCAAATGCTCACGTGTACGGCTTAGAGGAGCTGATTTGTCTAGTACATGTGCTGCAGTGTGGTCTCATCCTCCCGTTAACCGGACGCCGTTTACGGTTGTCATCAAATCTTCCTTCAATGATCAATATCTTCCATCGAACGATCTCACAAATAAAAAAGTTAGGATTTTGGGCCAATCTAGTCTAAATGCAGCTGGAAAGCGGAATCACGTATGACATACGCGGTACCGATCGATGAAGCTATCACATACTCACCGGCCTTGAGCGCAAATTTTGCAATTTTTTGTCCAGTTTCGTCGTGAAAATTCACGGCAACTGTTTCCATCCATGCGTTGTCCGTATTTCGTGGATCGTCCACGTAACCACGATAGACCTGAGAAGCCAATTGTAACATTAGTTGCATCATCAATCAGGTGAATGATATTGAAAAAGAGACATTTTTTCTGAAACACAAAACATTACTATAGGGCTGTAAACGATTTTTGTGGGGGTGACTTGTATACACCAGGTCATATGATGAGACGGTTGACGCTCCCCTTGGAACGACAGATAAATGAAGTGAAACTATGCGTATCACGGTCAAACGATTATACTTCTGAAGGGTGGGGTGGAGTGTTCTAGAATAGGTGTTCTATCAGTATCGGATTACACGTGAACAATGAGGAACGGTCGTCACCGCGTTGTGAATTATCTTTGTTTTTCCTCTAGTACATAATTAACGATTGTATTGCGTCGCTGGGGTGTAAATACCAGCAGGGAATTGTAAAATGCACCTTGTGTACACAATGAGTTTAATCAGTTGATAAGCTAGTGCTCGTTACACGGTCTTGTTGCTTAACCGGGTAGTTCCGAACAAAATTAACAGGTGCTACTAATGCCTACACTATGGAACAGGGAATAGGGGAATTTCTGTATTTTCCCCCAGACAGTGTTTGTATGGCCGCAGCCCCCTTACTGAAAGTTGATTGTACATTTGTATATTCAATAAATAGAAAAAGGAAGTAAAAAGACATTGTTAAAATAACGTGAGGGTAATAATCGATATATAGAACGCATGGATGAATGAGAGAGCAGCATCTGGGTAGACCACCATGTAAAGGATGAGTGGGGTCAGAGAGGATTTTCTGTGCTAATGTTCCCCATGCGGACAATTGAAGTTCACACAGTTTTGGAAATCATAAACGGGTATAAAAAATAAGACTGGTGATCGGCAAACCTCGACGAAGAATTTTGAAGTCTTTCTTGAGTAGACCAGCAAAAACCACCGGGGAACAATAAATAACGGGAAAAACATTGATAAGCAAATAGCGAAATGATTTTTTGTTTGGTGTTGAAGTGCTTAAGTCTTCGCAGTTGAAAAGATAATCACGAAGTTCTATACAGAGTTGTACATACGGGATGTCCACTTTAAGTTTGTTAATTGTAACTCCTAAATACGGAATCTACTCCAGTTAGAGGATCTGCGTTTATGACCGAGGAATCAGGGAGATAAACAGAACGAGAATAGGTGATGGTGTATTCAGAGCACTTGGATAAATTAAGAGACAATTCAGAACGAACGGAAATGTCGTGGATATGCGATAGATTATTCGAGAAATTCAGAAGGTCCTTAGAAATAGCTTGGCAACGGGCTCAGTCGTCATCGTATTCAAATAATTGGGCTGGGGAATTCGCCGGCAGATCACTGATGTAGGTGGAAAACAAGAACGCAGATACTACAGCATTCTGCAGCACTCCCGAACTATCCACAAGGTTCAGATGTTTTCCTACCGAGCCGAGTATGCTGAGTTCTGTTTGTGAAGTAGTCGACGAGTCACGCTTCATGCTTGGAACAGCCAAATAATTTCATTTCACGAATGAGGAGGGGACGTGGAACAGAGTCAGATGCCGATGAAAAATCTAAGAAAACACATCTTACGGATTTCGCTGATGCGTCTAGGGACTTGGTGAAGGGAGGCG